ACGGTGTTTGGTACGTAAGACTCTGTTCAAGTCTGTACGTCACGGGCATACTGTAATGTTGTACGGTATTTGGTACGTAAGACTCTGTTCAAGTCTGTACGTCACGGACATACTGTAAGGTTGTACGGTGTTTGGTACGTAAGACTCGGTTTAAGTCTGTACGTCACGGACATACTGTAAGGTTGTACGGTGTTTGGTACGTAAGACTTTGTTTAAGTCTGTACGTCACGGACATACTGTAAGGTTGTACGGTGTTTGGTACGTAAGACTTTGTTTAAGTCTGTACGTCACGGACATAGTGTAATGTTGTACGGTGTTTGGTACGTGGTACGTAAGACTCTGTTTAAGTCTGTACATCACGGACATACGTTAATGTTGTACGGTGTTTGGTACGTAAGACTCGGTTTAAGTCTGTACGTCACGGACATACTGTAAGGTTGTACGGTGTTTGGTACGTAAGACTCTGTTCAAGTCTGTACGTCAAGGACATACTGTAATGTTGTACGGTGTTTGATACGTAAGACTCTGTTTAAGTCTGTACGTCACGTACATACTGTAATGTTGTACGGTGTTTACTGTAATGTTGTACGGTATTTGGTACGTAAGACTCTGTTAAGTCTGTACGTCACGGACATACTGTAATGGGGTACGGTGTTTGGTACGTAAGACTCTGGTTAAGTCTGTACGTCACGGACATACTGTAAGGTTGTACGGTGTTTGGTACGTAAGACTTTGTTTAAGTCTGTACGTCACGGACATACTGTAAGGTTGTACGGTGTTTGGTACGTAAGACTTTGTTTAAGTCTGTACGTCACGGACATACTGTAAGGTTGTACGGTGTTTGGTACGTAAGACTCTGTTCAAGTCTGTACGTCACGGACATACTGTAATGGTGTAGGGTGTTTGGTACGTAAGACTCTGTTTAAGTATGTACGTCACGGACATACTGTAATGTTGTGCGGTGTTTGGTACGTGAGACTCTGTTTAAGTATGTACGTCACGGACATACTGTAATGGTGTAGGGTGTTTGGTACGTAAGACTCTGTTTAAGTCTGTACCTCACGGACATACTGTAATGGTGTACGGAGTTTGGTACGTAAGACTCTGTTTAAGTCTGTGTCTGTACGTCACGGACATACTGTAATGTTTTACGGTGTTTGGTACGTAAGACTCTGTTAAGTCTGTACGTCACGGACATACTGTAAGGTTGTACGGTGTTTGGTACGTAAGACTCGGTTTAAGTCTGTACGTCACGGACATACTGTAATGTTGTGCGGTGTTTGGTACGTGAGACTCTGTTTAAGTCTGTACGTACGGTGTTTGGTACGTAAGACTCTGTTAAGTCTGTACGTCACGGACATACTGTAAGGTTGTACGGTGTTTGGTACGTAAGACTCGGTTTAAGTCTGTACGTCACGGACATACTGTAAGGTTGTACGGTGTTTGGTACGTAAGACTTTGTTTAAGTCTGTACGTCACGGACATAGTGTAATGTTGTACGGTGTTTGGTACGTAAGCCTCTGTTCAAGTCTGTACGTCACGGGCATACTATAATGTTGTACGGTATTTGGTACGTAAGACTCTGTTCAAGTCTGTACGTCACGGACATACTGTAAGGTTGTACGGTGTTTGGTACGTAAGACTTTGTTTAAGTCTGTACGTCACGGACATAGTGTAATGTTGTACGGTGTTTGGTACGTGGTACGTAAGACTCTGTTTAAGTCTGTACGTCACGGGCATACTGTAATGTTGTAAGGTGTTTGGTACGTAAGACTCTGTTTACGTCTGTACGTCACGGACATACTGTAATGGTGTACGGAGTTTGGTACGTAAGACTCTGTTTAAGTATGTACGTCACGGACATACTGTAATGGTGTACGGTATTTGGTACGTAAGACTCTGTTTAAGTCCCCACGTCACGGACATACTGTAATGTTGTATGCATCACTCTGATCTGACTTTGTGTACGGTGTTTGGTACGTAAGACTCTGTTAAGTCTGTACGTCACGGACATACTGTAATGTTCTGTTTAAGTCTGTACGTCACGGACATACTGTAATGTTGTATGCATCACTCTGATCTGACTTTGTTGCTGAATCATAAAGCTGGATCTGACACACTTGTATTTTCCCATTGTACATTAGCCGCCAGCTCCTTGGATACCAAGTTTTGTCGCAGTGATACGAAACGTCTTAGCTCTCACATTCTGTCAAAAACGGTAAATATGTATTTTTTAATACGACAGCATACGTCTGTTATATGCTTGCTGACAGCATATAAGCCGGCTGGATGACGACAGTGTGTACTTTGTTTTAGCAGCAGCAACCTACACGAGGAGGACCAGACTTACACCACAGGCCACAGTGGGACGGCTTTGTATGTACACATGTCGCCGAGACTTGGCAAGGTACTCGTCCCCTTTAACATAGACATAGTGTGTAGTGTTGGTATCTACCCCACAGTTCGAGCAATCGCCGCCGAGGGTGGACGTGTACACACTCCTAGTGACGCTGTGTCTGATAGCGCCATCGGAGACTGCTTGTTCCTGACGCTGTGTCTGATAGCGCCATCGGAGACTTCTTGTTCCTGACGCTGTGTCTGATAGCGCCAACGGAGACTGCTTGTTCCTGACACTGTGTCTGATGGCGCCATCGGCGACTGCTTGTTCCTGACACTGTGTCTGATAGCGCCATCGGAGCCTGCTTGTTCCTGACACTGTGTCTGATAGAGCCATCGGCGACTGCTTGTTCCTGACACTGTGTCTGATAGCGCCATCGGAGACTGCTTGTTCCTGACGCTGTGTCTGGTAGCGCCACCGGAGACTGCTTGTTTGAGGAGGCTTTGAAGCCTTACTGCCCCTGTTACAGAATAGACGCGGATATATCAGAGTGTCGTTAAACTCTTTGAAAAGTGTTTGACAACAAAAAGTGTCATCGAGGACTTATTTGAACTTTACTCTTCCATAATGGGCGAGTTTCACATTACACACAAATACATCCTCAACAACGATGTGCGGTACATGTATAGCGGCTACCCCATCGCCATGAAGTACCGCGGCAGTGGCGACTATCCCAACTTTGACATGTTGAGGATCAGCAGGGAAAACTCGGATCTAAAGAAAAACATTTTGAAATCTTCTGACTTTAAGACGGATTGTAGATACCTGGTCCCGAAGGCGCCTGCTCTGAGGAACTACTCTCGGCATGCCGTTAACGGTGTGGTAACGAGACTGATGAAGCCGACCATCGCTCGGGTCGGAGTGTCGGACGAAAATATCGATTTGCTACGATGTAAGGTGGATGTGGTTGAGGAAGACAAGTCGGACAAGTACCTTAGTTACCGTAGACTCCCTAAAACACAAGTTGACAATATTGTGGACAGACTATTCGGCCGCAACACTCAGATGAGTGCCATGAAAAGGCGGGAAAAGTTTGACCTAACGCGGGACGGAAAAATGACGCTGTTCCGTGAGGCAAGCATCCCCCTCCCAATGGTTCAGGCGTGATTGTATCGACTATGACAGGTAATGTTTTTTATTTATTCTTTGACATTAAATTATATACTAGTATATATATTTTATACTTGTGTAACAGGAGAGGAAAATTGCACAGCCGGACCGGGATTCGAACCCAGAACCTCCGAACTCTAGACGGACGCTCGTACAAATTGAGCGGCGATCGACCCTGTCCAGTCCCGCTACACTCGCACATTTAATTACTATATTGTGTAAATGACGATTGATGGTAAATCAGACTGTAACATAGTATAAATTGGGGAGAGGTTTGGGGAGGGATAGGGGTAAGGCGATGTCCAAAAGGTCCCAAAGCAAATCGAGGATGACGCGGAACTGTCGCCATAGGAACGCTATTGTCAAGGTCAATTTGGTTAAGTTCAATGGATTGTTCATAAATTACGGCATTAAAGTTGACATCAATTAGCAGAGTCAACAAAATAGCGGCACCTGTCATAACAATCTCACCCGTTACCGGATTACCTCAATATAAGCTACCAGTTAACTCCTACAGTAAATGTAATCTAATAAAGACTTTCACCTCGAAAGTAAAATATTGATTTAGGCAGGAGCGGAGTAATGGCTTCGTATTTGTGTGGATGTAAACAAATTATAGGATTAACAGGCTACATTTGGCAATTAGTTGTCTTGACATGTGCCCTTGTTACTTCTATATGTAAACGTTTTCATATCACAGTGGGGATGAGGTTCGGCATTTATTTATGTTCTCCTTACTATTCAATATAGAAATGTCAACATCCTTTCACGTGCCAATCAGTTCACGATGTTTCTGTAGCCATTTACACCTGTGTCGTGTCCAATAGTTCATGACGGGTCCAGATGTCCACTTAACATGTGTCGTGTCCAACAATTCACGACGTGCCCAGATATCCACTTAACATGTGTCGTGTCCAACAGTTCACGGCGTATCCAGATGTCAACTTAACACCTGTGTCGTGTCCAACAGTTCACGACGGGTCAACTTAACACATGTGCCGTGTCCAACAGTTCACGACGGGTCAACTTAACACCTGTGTCGTGTCTAACAGTTCACGATGGGTCCACTTAACACCTGTGCCGTGTCTAACAGTTCACGACGGGGTCCACTTCACCTGTCCAACAGTTCACGACGGGGTCCACTTAACACCTGTGTCGTGTCCAACAGTTCACGACGTGCCCAGCTGACCATTTACACCTTAGTCGTGTCCATCAGTCCACACATTTTACACGTGTTATGTCCATTAGTCAATGACATGTCAAGATGGTCTGTTTATTTATATATATAACTTTTGTGTTGTGTCCATCAATCACATCATCAGATCATATTTGCGTGATATTCCTTTTTATTTGCATGATATTATATCATTTAAATGTGTCTGATATCTTTGAGACGATCTTGGGAAGGGGTAGTATATTCTAGTCAACATGAAGGGGTAGTATATTCTAGTCAACATGAAGGGGTAGTATATTCTAGTCAACATGAAGGGGTAGTATATTCTGGTCAACATCATGGAGGGATTATATTGTATTGAAGTTCCACGTGAAAGGACAGTCCCTTACGTGCAATTGCAGTCCCTCCCAAGAAAATACAATATGTCCAGGACTGTACAATGCAGCATATGAAAATACATTCCTACCATAAATGGTGAGATTATCAATATTTTTTCTGAAACTAAAGCCGTCTCTGAGGAAGCTGTAACCAGCTTACGGAGTATATGTACCCGATATTTAATAGCTTTGGTTCAGTGTCAATGTCACTGCTTATATCACGGTTTTGATATTCATGCAGGTAAAAACAACAGGTAGTTTGTTAGGTAGGCCATGTGTAGACTCTGGTCGACAGGTTCTTATCTACTCATCGCCTGATCTATCTCACGGCCAGGCTAGAGAGATTATCGATCAGATTAAATACCGTATATTTCATTCCGGGTTTTAATTTATTAATTAAATTCTGATGATAAGGCAGCGATTGTATATTTGTAGTGTGGGAGACTTAACGGAATAAATGTCAGACCACATTACACTCGGTTGGTGATACAAAGTATTATAGCGGCGCCAAAACTGGTCCAGTGTTCAGGAAGAAACGTCGTGTCATTTTGTTGTTTTCATTATAATAGGGGCCCCCCCCCCCCGCATCATAGGGGCTATTCACTTATATGTGACATGACGTGTGTGTTGCTACACTAGTGGTTTTCCTTCCTCTGTGTTACTCCTGTTAGAACATTGTTCTGATTACATACATATACACTATATACATTATACTGTACACCTGAACACTAGGCCAGGTAGCTCACGAGAGCTAATTTATGTGTTTCTTGTTTAAATATGTATGTAATTCTAAATCAAGTTTCCTGTATTTTTTACATTGGTATCAATTTAATACATTTTCCATTTTTGTTTGTATTTTACAGGTGTCTTGCTGGCAGTCTCGCCATCCATTCGTCAATTACGTCACACTGGTCTCCGACAAGAAGACTAGACTACCATACAACCTCCGGAGTAGTAGTTCGGATTATGTACACTCCTATACAAGTCGGGCTTCCGAAATATTTTCTTACATACATAATGGATGAAAGTGACAACTCCTTTCTAAAGAGAGCCAACAAAGGACTAAGAAAAGTGAAAAACTTCAAACAGTAGTAAAATATTGACTTATATTACCCATGAAATATATCTTATTATAGTATATAAGGATGTACGCTTGTACAGGATACATGCTTGTATGTACTGGACGCACGCTTTTATGTACAGGACGCACGCTTGTATGTACAGGACGCGCGCTTGTATGTACAGGACGCACGCTTTTATGTACAGGACGCAAGCTTGTATGTACAGGATACATGCTTGTATGTACAGGACGCACGCTTTTATGTACAGGACGCACGCTTGTATGTACATGACGCACGCTTGGATGTACAGGAATCACGCTTGTATGTACAGGACGCACGCTTGTATGTATAGGACGCACGCTTGTATGTGCAGGATACACGCTTGTATGTACAGGACGCACGCTTGTATGTACAGGAATCACGCTTGTATGTACAGGACGCACGCTTGTATGTACAGAACGCACGCTTGTATGTGCAGGATACACGCTTGTATGTACAGGACGCACGCTTTTATGTACAGGAATCACGCTTGTATGTACAGGACGCACGCGTGTATGTACAGAAAACATGCGTGTATGTTCCGGATACACGCTTGTATGTACAGGACGCACGCTTTTATGTACAGGATACACGCTTGTATGTACAGTACATGACACACGCTTGTATGTTCAGGACGCACGCTTGGATGTACAAGACGCACGCTTTTATGTACAGGACTCACGCTTGTATGTACAGGACGCACGCTTGTATGTACAGAAAACATGCGTGTACGTTCCGGATACACGCTTGTATGTACAGGACGCACGCTTTTATGTACAGGCTACACGCTTGTATGTACAGGACGCACGCTTGTATGTACAAGACGCACGCTTTTATGTACAGGACGCACGCTTGTATGTACAGGATACACGCTTGTATGTACAGTACATGACACACGCTTGTATGTTCAGGACGCACGCTTGTATGTACAGGACGCACGCTTGTATGTACATGACGCACGCATATATGTACAGGAAATACGCTTGTATGTACAGGAATCACGCTTGTATGTACAGGACGCACGCTTGTATGTACAGAAAACATGCGTGTATGTTCCGGAAACACGCTTGTCAGTGCAGCAAACACGTATGTATGTACAGAAAACATGCCTGTATGTTCCGGAACCACGCTTGTATGTACAGGAAATACGCTTGTATGTACAGGAACCACGAATGTATGTACAAGAATCACGCTTGTATGTACAGGACGCACGTTTGTATGTACAGGATACACGCTTGTATGTACAGGACGCACGCTTGTATGTACAGAAAACATGCTTGTATGTTCCGGAAACACGCTTGTATGTACAGGAAACACTAATGTATGTACATGAAATACGCTTGTATGTACAGGAAATACGAATGTTTGTACAAGAATTACGCTTGTAAGTACAGGACACTCGCTTGTATGTACAGGAAACACGATTGTATGTTCCGGAAACATGATTGTATGTTCCGTAAACACGCATGTAGGTTCAGGAAACACGAATGAATGTACATGACACACGATTTTATGTTCAACAAACATGATTGTATGTTCCGGAAACATGCATGTACGTTCAGGAAACACGATTGTATGTACAGGAAACACGATTGTATGTTCAGGAAACATGATTGTATGTACAGGAAACATGATTGTATGTACAGGAAACACGCATGTATGTACACGAATCACGATTGTATGTTCAGAAAACATGATTGTATGTTCCGGAAACATGCATGTATTTACAGGAATCACGCTTGTATGTTCAGGAAACATGATTGTATGTACAGGAAACATGATTGTATGTACAGGAAACACGCATGTATGTACACGAATCACGATTGTATGTTCAGAAAACATGATTGTATGTTCCGGAAAAACACGCATGTATTTTCCGGAAACACGCATGTATGTTCAGGAAACACGAATGTATTTACAGGAATCACGCTTCGATGTTCAGGAAACATGATTGTAAGTGCATGAAGTACGCTTGTATGAATAAAAAGTTCGCTTGTTAATACATGAAATACATCAGAATTACAGGATGTACCATAATGCGTACCTGAAGTACAGTTTTATGTTGAGTACACAGGAATACGTATTGAAGCATGTACAAGTAAATATACAGGAAATACAGCAGATACTCTTGTATGTAGGGATATAAACCTGTATGTACATGGCATAAACTTACATGTACAGGAGTATAACTGTGAACATAGGAGCTACACTTGTAATGTGTTATGCATCATTTGTTATAATGCTAGCGGCATTTTGTAACTTGACATCTTTGCTTGGCTAACACTATCAAACGGTGATTGCGAGAACACGTCACAGACTGGTCGTCCCGTGTATCTGTCTGGGTGTGAAGTTTATCTGTTCTGTCTTCCTTTGTATTATCATCCTGTTTATCTGTCTAGTCGTCCTCTGTATCTGTCATGGCGTGCATTGAATCTGTCTTTGTGCTCTACACACATGTCCGGCCGTATGTTATAGATGCGTATATTAAACCGTAAAACAGTTGCTGTTCAAGGAAGCGCACATGCTTATTGTAATGTCACACATACATCTGTACACTAATGACATAGAAGTAAGTGTGTAAGTATTTATAATGTTTTTATGTATTATACTTGAGAAAAATTCAGAGTATGTCTATGAATATGTGCTTAGTGATTTTTGTATCAACCATATCATCATGTATAAAAACGTTTGTACTTTTCCCCCCCGAGGATTGAATCTGTCAATGAATAACGCCATCTACCGGCGTCAAGAGTCGACTGGTGAAAGTTGTCCTCTACTGATGTTGCTTGTCCATATCCTACTGTTTTGTATTAAATTAAAGTTAATTCCACATTTGACTTAATTGTTTATAACTTATAGTCCGATAAAATATAACAGATTTGCCGTATTGTATTTCCTGTTTACAGTTGTTCAGGACAAAGAAAAACATAAAAATAAGTAAACATATGAATATATGGTAATCAATGACTAATAGATACAATCACTCCCGTGGTAATCAATGATTAATAGATATAATCACTCCCCTGGTAACCAATTATTAATATATACAATCACTCCCCTGGTAACCAATGATTAATGGATACAATCACTCCCCTGGTAACCAATGCCTAATAGATACAGTCACTCCCCTGGTAACCCATCCCTAATAGATACAATCCCTCCCCTGGTAACCAATGACTAATAGATACAGTCACTCAACATGTAACCAATGACTAATAGATACAGTCATTCTCCATGTAACCAATGCCTAATAGATACAGTCATTCTCCTGGTAACCAATGACTAATAGATACAGTCACTCAACATGTAACCAATGACTAATAGATACAATCACTCCCCTGGTAACCAATGACTAATAGATACAATCACTCCCCTGGTAACCAATGACTAATAGATACAATCACTCCCTGGTAACCAATGACTAATAGATACAGTCACTCCCCTGGTAACCAATGACTAATAGATACAATCACTCCCCTGGTAACAACTGATTAATATATACAATCACTAACCTGGTAACCAATGATTAATAGATACGATCACTCCCCTGGTGACCAATGAATACTAGATACAATCATTCCCCTGGTAACCAATGCCTAATAGATACAGTCACTCCCCTGGTAAAAACTGAATTATAAATACAGTCACTCCGCTGGTTACAACTGATTTATAGATACAGTGACTCCCCTGGTAACCAATTATTAATAGATACAATCACTCCCCTTATAGCCAATTATTAATAGATACAATCACTCCCCTTATAGCCAATTATCAATAGATACAATCACTCCCCTTGTAACCAATGATCAATAGATACAATCACTCCCCTTGTAACCAATGATTAATAGATACAATCACTCCCCTGGTAATCAATGATTAATAAAGTAATTCCTATGGTTACCAATAATAAATCAAAACACTCCCTTGGTTACCAATAATAAATCAAGTCACACCCCTGGTAACCAATAATACATCAAGTCACTCCTGTTGGTAACCAATAATATATCAAGTCACTCCTTTGGTAACCAATAATAAATCAAGTCACTCCCATGGTAACCAATAATAAATCAAGTCACTTCCCTGGTTACCAATAATAAATCAAAACACTCCCCTGGTAACCAATAATAAATCAAGTCACTCCCCGGTAACCAACAAAAATCAAGTTACTCCCTTGGTAACCAATAATAAATCAAGTCACTCCCTTTGTTACAAATAATAAATCAAGTCACACCCCTGGTAACCAATAATACATCAAGTCACTCCCGTTGGTAACCAATAATAAATCAAGTCACTCCCCTGGTAACCAACAATAAATCAAGTCACTCCCCTGGTAACCTATTATACATCAAGTCACTCCCCTGGTAACCAATAATAAATCAAGTCACTCCCCTGGTAACCAATGATTGAAAGGTACTATGATTTCCTTAATAATAATAATAAGAAGAAAACATTTTAACAATTCATTTTAATGTTTTACTGTACTAAAACAAACAACGTTAACTAATATAACTAGCTTCATAAAAACTCAAGTTTAAATGGAATGTTTTGTTTATAGATATCCATCCGATATATATATTTGCGTGTATTTATATCACAGAATAACGTTATAGGTTGTATAGGCAGATTAGAACTACACAGTCTGGTGATCAACAGTACTCAGTTTCACCACCCGGGTCTAATAATAGGGTTTTAGACCTATCACCACCCGGGTCTAATAAAAGGGGTTTAAACCTATCATCACCAGTGTCTAATAATAGGGTTTTAGACCTTTCACCACCAGTGTCTAATAATAGGGTTTTAGACCTATTACCACCAGTGTCTAATAATAGGGTTTTAGACCTTTCACCACCAGTGTCTAATAATAGGGTTTTAGACCTTTCACCACCAGTGTCTAATAATAGGGTTTTAGATCTATCACCACCCGGGTCTAATAAAAGGGTTTTAAACCTATCACCACCAGTGTCTAATAATAGGGTTTTAGATCTATCACCACCCGGGTCTAATAAAAGGGTTTTAGACCTATCACCACCCGGGTCTAATAAAAGGGTTTTAAACCTATCATCACCAGTGTCTAATAATAGGGTTTTAGACCTATCACCACCCGGGTCTAATAAAAGGGTTTTAGCCCTATCACCACCAGTGTCTAATAATAGGGTTTTAGACCTATCACCACCAGTGTCGAATAATAGGTTTTAGACCTATCACCACCCGGGTCTAATAATAGGGTTTTAGACCTATCACCACCCGTGTCTGGGAAACCGGGGTCTAATAATAGGGTTTTAGGCCTATCACCACCCGTGTCTGGGAAACCGGGGTCTAATAATAAGGTTTTAGACCTATCACCACCCGTGTCTTGGAAACCGGGGTCTAATAATAAGGTTTTAGACCTATCACCATCCGTGTCTGGGAAACCGGGGTCTAACAATAAGGTTTTAGGGCTATCATCACCCGTGTCTGGGAAACCGGGGTCTTATAACAAGGTTTTAGACCTATCACCACCCGTGTCTGGGAAACCGGGGTCTAATAATAAGGTTTTAGACCTATCACCACCAGTGTCTGCTAGGAAGCAAAGGGAAGTAATTAAAATTTAAACCGTGCAGGCTAAAGGAACAGTTAACGCAGGCCAATGGAGCTCGGAGTTTGCTAAAGGGAAGACTGATGACATCATCTCTATTGGCTCATGACACTGCCGGCGGAGGTCTATCGTCAGTGGACCTTGATCATGCTCGGCTAGACTTCCTTCAGTGGACTGTTCCCGGAATGTTTTGGACTATTGGTATGCCTGCCCCTTCCTGCCTAGATGTCACTGTTTTGTAAGAAGCCTACAACTTTAGACAGACGAAACTTTAGTGATTGGGTTAAGGACTTTAAACTGACAGGGTCTTATAAAGCATATTATTATTATTATAAACTAGCGAAGCTTTGATTGGGTTTAGGAGTTCCTACTAGTCCTGTAGACTGAGGAAGCTTTGATAGGGTTGAGGAGTTCCTACTAGTCCTGTAGACTGAGGAAGCTTTGATAGGGTTGAGGAGTTCCTACTAGTCCTGTAGACTGAGGAAGCTTTGATAGGGTTGAGGAGTTCCTACTAGTCCTGTAGACTGAGGAAGCTTTGATAGGGTTGAGGAGTTCCTACTAGTCCTGTAGACTGAGGAAGCTTTGATAGGGTTGAGGAGTTCCTACTAGTCCTGTAGACTGAGGAAGCTTTGATAGGGTTGAGGAGTTCCTACTAGTCCTGTAGACTGAGGAAGCTTTGATAGGGTTGAGGAGTTCCTACTAGTCCTGTAGACTGAGGAAGCTTTGATAGGGTTGAGGAGTTCCTACTAGTCCTGTAGACTGAGGAAGCTTTGATAGGGTTGAGGAGTTCCTACTAGTCCTGTAGACTGAGGAAGCTTTGATAGGGTTGAGGAGTTCCTACTAGTCCTGTAGACTGAGGAAGCTTTGATAGGGTTGAGGAGTTCCTACTAGTCCTGTAGACTGAGGAAGCTTTGATAGGGTTGAGGAGTTCCTACTAGTCCTGTAGACTGAGGAAGCTTTGATAGGGTTGAGGAGTTCCTACTAGTCCTGTAGACTGAGGAAGCTTTGATAGGGTTGAGGAGTTCCTACTAGTCCTGTAGACTGAGGAAGCTTTGATAGGGTTGAGGAGTTCCTACTAGTCCTGTAGACTGAGGAAGCTTTGATAGGGTTGAGGAGTTCCTACTAGTCCTGTAGACTGAGGAAGCTTTGATAGGGTTGAGGAGTTCCTACTAGTCCTGTAGACTGAGGAAGCTTTGATAGGGTTGAGGAGTTCCTACTAGTCCTGTAGACTGAGGAAGCTTTGATAGGGTTGAGGAGTTCCTACTAGTCCTGTAGACTGAGGAAGCTTTGATAGGGTTGAGGAGTTCCTACTAGTCCTGTAGACTGAGGAAGCTTTGATAGGGTTGAGGAGTTCCTACTAGTCCTGTAGACTGAGGAAGCTTTGATAGGGTTGAGGAGTTCCTACTAGTCCTGTAGACTGAGGAAGCTTTGATAGGGTTGAGGAGTTCCTACTAGTCCTGTAGACTGAGGAAGCTTTGATAGGGTTGAGGAGTTCCTACTAGTCCTGTAGACTGAGGAAGCTTTGATAGGGTTGAGGAGTTCCTACTAGTCCTGTAGACTGAGGAAGCTTTGATAGGGTTGAGGAGTTCCTACTAGTCCTGTAGACTGAGGAAGCTTTGATAGGGTTTAGGAGTTCCTACTAGTCCTGTAGACTGAGGAAGCTTTGATAGGGTTTAGGAGTTCCTACTAGTCCTGTAGACTGAGGAAGCCTTTGGTAGGATTTGGGAGTTGTAGCTGATATATGCGAGTAAGAATTTCCCGGTCCCCAGAGGAAAGGCGAAGTCGGTCACGTATTACCAAGCGACAACACGATGACAGTGAGAATGGCTGGTTCGACAAGTGTCGTATTCTGTCATTGAAGAGTTCGTGCTCTCGTGTTTTCCCAGGTAGATACATCCAGCTTTCGTCGTACAGATACCAGTCACAGCCAACCAGATACTCAGCCGCCTCGATGTAATTATTCCAGACTAGCCAACACAATGGAGAGTTTCTGAATAATCCAGACCTGTAAGGAGATAATGCCACGTCATCAGAGACTGAACAATCCTGACCAGTAGCCTAACCCAGATAATGCCACGTCATCAGAGACTGAACAGACCCGAATAGAACTCAAACAACATCATGTCATCAGGTCCTAATAGAATCTCTCACCTCTTTGGTGATATTTGGAATTTCTCTGAGGGGGATGGGGATTTTTAAGTTGCCAGTGTTTGAAAACTTAAGAATATTTCCCCGATGGTTGAGATTCACAGTATTAACTTACTGGTAAGGATGTACTCTTCTGAGGTTTCAATCACGTTCAAGTCTCGTTTTGATCTGGTGTAACAGGTTTTTGTAATATTAAACAAATTATGATCAAGTTTATTAGCAAACACACATCTGAAAAATATGTCAAAAAATTAGATGCCTGTTGTTTGTAGAACTTTTTTTACAAGAATTCAAAAAAATACCAACCAATTTGGTGGCCATTTTAAAGTTGTGTATTAATGTGTATTTCTTGCGCTTCAAAAAAGGCCAAAATTTCATCTTTTTTGACACTAGATTGATCACTTAAATTGTCATTGTGTCGCCATTTTTAATTGTAGCAGGTTCAATTTTGCTGTACAACTTTATGATGTTTAATATGATAAAATTAATATGCAACAAACTGGAAAACTATACATTATTGATATTTTTGTTAACATATTTAGTGTAACTGAAGCA